TGGAATTGTTCTTTGCTGGACTCAAACCCTGTCGTCATGGTCAGCTACTCTCTGCGTCTCAAGTCCGCCAACATACAGTGCATGATGAGTTAACTGGACAAACTGGTAACAGTTTGAAAACCATCCATGCAGAGGTAAATGGTCAGCTAGTTAGCGTGAAAAGAAACAGCATCATACCGGCCCATAGGGTTTGTTTCAAAGAACTTCTGGCTACATAAATCCGATCTTCAGAAATGTTTATGGCCTACGTTTTCAGAATGAGCTTATGTTGAACATACCATCTCAAAAACTTGGAATAGTTTATGCTGGCCTATGCTAGATTCTTCAGCAGAGCTACATTTTACATTTGTAACAACAAAATTCCACACTTCAAGTTTGTCAGAGATGTTTCAGCATGGGACGTCTCCTCATCTTATTTCTCTTAGTCCATTAAGCTAAGGGTGATGCTGATATGCCCGTCTCTCTAGGGAGCAGCAGGTATAGGAGTGTTTTTGTGAGCGGGGGAATTCCTGCGCTAATGAGAGGCAGTAATTACCCCCTCCTCCACCCCCAAGCGAAGTGGTTAATGGCAGCGATGCTTATTTACGCAGTAAACAGGTGCACAGCTGGATCAAATAACTGATAAGCTGCTTAAAGACATTCCTCTAGTCCATACTTCAAAATCAGCACATTTTCATTTGTCAAGACAAAAAGAAATGAACGGATGTGAATATAAAGCCATCTTTATGTTGCTGTGCTCTTGTGCGCCGCTGAGGGACGTGAGCGTGCGTGAATACAGATGTTTTTTGAACAATTGATTTCTCTTTTGGTTAAAGGTCAGATTTTGGGTTAAGGGTTAAGGTCGGGGATCAGTGCCGATGACCTGTGCTTTTTCTCAAGTGTAATACATCTGAGACTTCATCTGAGCTCTCACAGTGAAAACGATGCCTTAGTGTTTAGCTTTCAAAGGCTTCACGGTGCTCATTGTGTGTTCTCAGAGAATGTGCTTTCACTTTGATTGAACTTGCTTTCACATACTTTAAACATTTTTTGTGGGTAGCACGGTGGCTCAGTGGTTAGCCTTGTTGCTTCACAGCTAGGACGTTGCTGATTCGAGTCCCAACTGGGCAAGGTGGCATTTCTGTGTAGAGTTTGCATATTCTCCCAGTGTTAGCGAGGGTTTCCTCTGGGTGCTCTTGTTCATTCTGATATTGTGACCCCTGTTAAAATCAGGAACTAAGCCAAAGAAATCTGAGGTTTTAGGTTTTTAACATGTAACTTCATAGATTTTTTTGGTCCCACTTTATATTAAGTGTCCTTAACTACTATGTACTTACATCAAAAAATAAATACAATGTACTTACTGTGTTTATAATGTATTTGAGAACACTTGTGGTGCTTTTGAGTTGGGATAGAGGTTGGGTTATGGACAGGTTTGGTGGCATGGGTAGGTTTAAGGGTGGGTTAAGGTGCAAGGGATGGTCAACAGTGTACTTGCAAATGTAATTACAAAAGTTAATTACAGATGTAATTACATACATGTATTTAATCAAGCATAAGTCCGCAGTAAAAACATGTATTTACACAATAAGTACATTGTAACAAACTATTGATTCCTATGTAAGTACGTATTAGTTAAGGCCACTTAATATAAAGTGGGACTTTTTTTGTGGTATGTGTTTAGACATTTATTATCATCTGATTTATTATTTTTATTGTTAATTTTTTTAATTAATAACATTATTATTTTGATGATGATGATGATGATGATGATGATGATATAAGGATGATGGAAATCATCATAGTTTGTGTAACTCAAGGGGTCTGGGTCAAACGGATAGTTTACTCGAAAATGAAAATAAAAAAGAGTCTAAAATGATCCACCCCTGTGTCATTCCAAATCCAGAGACCATCGTTCATCCACATCAGTGTCAGTATAGGGCAGGCATTCACAAGCTTTGTGCACTGGTGTGTTTCTCCTGGAGGTCTGCATGCAACTTCTTCTGTTATAAAGCACAGGTGTATCTGAGGTATACGTCAAATGCATACCTGTCAACATTGGGATGGGAAATTAAAGGATATCACCCCAATCCCCCCTAAAAAGAAAAAAGTCCTAAACTAAATATGTTCAACTGGAGCTGTTTCATTGTAAATAAACAGCTGAAATGCTCAGTAATATGTTTCTTTCTGTATTATTATTATTATTTGCAAAGGATTAGAATAAATAGGATACATTAGAAAAAGCTGCAAATAAATTAGCAAACAGTTTAGCATCTTAAAATGAATAGCTATTATAAAGAAGTTTAATAAATCTCATGACTCCTTTCTTCACTGTATAATTTAAACATTCTGATTAAAGAGCAAAGAATGAATCACTCATTTTCGATTTTTTGTTTGATTACATTAAATAACAGAGGTGTTACTTTAAAAATTCACGTATAGATAATGAAAGCATTTAATTTGCTTTCCTAACTTTTTTTATGCTCATTTAAGACAAAATATGTTATGATTAAACGAAAACCCACCAAGATGACATGTTTAGATATTAATGTGTGTATATATCTTTTTACACTTGCACCCAAAACCCAGTGTCTACTTTCGCTCCACTTCAAATCGTATGTACAGAATCCGTTTAGGAAACTAAAAGTGTCTATTTATCACTATGGAGCGCATCTGACAGTCATGCACCGCTACATCAACTGTTTTGAGGATTTCAAAGAAGGGGCAACGATGCCTGTAATAGAAAGGAAGGGAATCCCACTGTTGTTATACTTATTTCAAAGTGTTTTCATGCATGCCTAAATAAAATGAAAGCACAGAACAGATTCACATTTAAGAGTAAGGGGCGTCCCCTGGTAGTTCTGCAGTATTAGTTGCAAATAGGGAGGATCTGCTCTTTAATGTCTATTGCCACCCTTCAGAGAAAGATTAAAAATACAGGAGAAATACAGAAAAATATCTTTACTGGATGATAAAGGGATATAATTGTAAAATACAGGAGAATGCTGGGAAAAACGGGAGGGTTTACAGTTATGCAAATGTACAAATGAGCGCAACACATAAAGTGCACAGTGCTCTTGTGAACATGCACCTTATACTGAGACTGAGGAGAAGAAACTGTTGAATTATGTAATTATTTTTGTTTATGTGCACACAAAAGCATTCTTGCAGCATAATATTATTCCTTTTGAACCACTGATGGCAAATGGTCTGTTTTGAGGATGTCTTTTGGTATTTTTAAGGTTTGGATCAATGTGAAGGTTGAGAAATTAACACCATTATCTTTTATCTTGGGGTGAACTTACCTTTAGTGCAAGGACAAACTGTATGTACTATACAGTTGGTATGTTCAACTATACAAGTCCAGTGTAGACCCTCACATCAGCAAGTACGTATAAGGGGCCAATCACACCGAATGTGGTTTTTTTTTGTGTGTGTGTTAAGAAGCACCTTTTTTGAATGATTTTCTAACGGCCACAAGCTTTATGCGCTGCTTATGTGCCCTGCGTCTCTCACGTTTTTGCCATTGTGCGTTGTGCGATCGCAGTTGATAAACAGTGTTTTATTTATGTTTGGGTTTTTGAAATTATTTTGTGAACTCTGAGCGGAATAAGCATGTTACATCAGTTGCGTCTTTTTCATTCTCCAATCAAATGAAAACACAGGCAGGGTTTCCGTTGAGGTGACTGCAGTGTTTGTGTTATTAAGACAACTACGGAAACTTTTGAGGATAGAGGAGAGATTTGTGGTTGCTGTTTTGAGTTATCCGATACTGTATGACTCATTAATCCTGAAATTCACAATATTATTAAGTATTAGAATTATACCAATATCAACAGCAATACTCTGGCACAATACCCAGCTTATTCAGTCATTGCTTAGCTACATAAAAAGCGCACAGGGCTTTTTTTAATGTCAACAAAAAAGGCAGAGTTGTGCGCCTTGCGTTTTTTGAACAAAAAAAGCGTGTTCTGAGTCAACGGCTCCTAAGTAAGCCTTTGATTGGAACATTCAAATATGATTGTACCTTCGAATAGGCATTAGCAACCCGAGAATATTGTCCTGGTTTAAAATACTCAGTAGTTTAAGGATCTGATCACTACATCTGTATTTTGTCAAATTTATTTCTAGCTGAACAGAAATATGATCAATATAACATCCAGTCTTATTCATGAAAAATAAATTCCTACTGTATCAATAATACAATTGCAGTTGTCTATAAAAATAGTAATTTTAAACGCAATTATTATAACTTTTTCCAAAAAAAGATAATTTCTTTCATCATCTTTCTAACTTTCTTTCTTTCTTTCTTTTTTCTTTTTTTCTTTCTTTCTTTCTTTCTTTCTTTCTTTCTTTTTTCTTTCTTTCTAACTTTCTTTCTTTCGTAACTCAAGCTTTCAAATGTTTTATTTGAGTTGTGGTGCACGTTCTCAAGTCTGCTTTGTGCAGATAGCGAACACAGCATCACCAGTGCATGAAGGTAATTGGCGAGCAATGGAGTGCGTGATAGTTTAGTTATGGATCCATCTTTCTGCCTCTTAATTAATGCACGCAGAACAGGAGCAGGTGATCACACATTCTTTGATGGCAGTAAGTGATCCAGCGTTCTGGCTGTGGGATAAAGAGAGCTGTTAACGCCTGTCTATCTGGGGTGTAAGTTTACTCAGTTCTAACGGACAGTGTGCTGGGAACTCTCTGAGACCCTCAGGCCAATGGAAATGATTCACAGCAATATTACAAGATCTTTATCAGCAAGAGAGAGAGAGACAGAGAGAAAGAAGCTCTTTGGATCTGTGAGAATCAGAATCGGCTGCTTTTCTCATGTGACAATTGAGATTTTTCTTTCATCTGTTCATCTATCCAAATATTCTTATCTCAGGTACTGTAGAATCCTCAGAAATCGTATTGGCATGGCTTCTGGACTCACACATGTGTGCTCACATGCATAAATGCACTTACATACTGTACATGCCATCCATCATGTTTCTGTTTTCTTTACACTGTGCTTATGTGTGTTTCAGGCTCCTGAAGCATGGCGATGAGTGTTTTAAGCCACGTGCTTGCCCATGTTTGTGGAAAGGAAAAGAATATTATCCAGGAGACAAAGTATCTTCCCCATGTCATCAGTGGTGAGATTATGTTCACTTACATTCAGGTCTTCACACAGAGCTTTAGGAAAACATTTGGAAAACATCATGGAATAACATTTATGTTCTAGTCTGCAGTTTTCAATCCTGGTCCTCATGACTCTCCGCTCTGCATATTTTGTGTGTCTCTCTTGTTTTAATATGCATATTTGGATTAGCAGATTGTTAGAAGAAATATCTACTGTATGAAGGAACTGTGTATAGACAAATATGCATATAAATACATATAATGCGTATAAAGCTTTATGAAGAAACTGTCTATAGACTGTGTGTTCCCTACCTACTGCTCTATACCTCCTGGACATTAGCTGAACTTGAAGAGCGCTTAATTGAAAAACAAAGATTTTTGCTAAACTGTTTGCAGCATCTTCAGACAAAAATGATTGTGTGAAGTATGAAGAGATATTTAACCGTAACCATGCTATTTGAATAAAAACTTTATTTCCCTTTGAATTGAATATGCTTTTTTCTAACTGGAATCTAGGCAGAAAATCATTGGATGTACACTACCGGTCAAAGTTTGGGGTCATTTTTTTTATTTAATAAAATTAATCTGTTCATCAAGGTGGAATTTATTAAATGTTAAAACAAAGAGTTAAATTGTTAAATATATATTAAAATGTTAAATAACTGCTTTCTGTATCTAGTTTCAAATGAAATCATTACTCCAGTCAGTGTTGCTTTTAATGCTATTATCATTAATAATATTAATAATAATAATAACAATAATAACTAATGTTAGAGAGATTTCTGGAGTACTGGGAGATGAGACTGGAGTAATGAAGTTAAAAATTCATCTTTAAAATTCCTGGAATAAATGATTAAATTAATTGATAAACTACTTTTTAACATTTATTTTATAGTGCAATAACATTTCACAATTTTACCATTTGTACTGTATTTTTGATGAAATAAATGCAGATTTGGTGAGCAGGAGAAGCTTATTTTGAAACATTTTAAAATTCTACTGACCCCAAACTTTCGACCGGTAGTGTATACTTCACAGGGCACATGCACCTGAATGGAGAAGCAGTAAGAGAAACATACAAAATGTGCAGAGAATGGGAGTGTGAGGACTAGGACTGAAAATCGCTGGGCTATATAATGTTTCAAATTAATGCTTTAAACCACTAAAGCTTCATTACTAAACCCCTAAATATAAAATTACTTACAGTATGTTTGTTGATAACTCTGAGAGAAACTTGACAGAATGTCAGTTTGTTACATTTTCATTAATTTATAAAAACAAAACGTTGCATGTGGTTATTAAGCCTGATCTTACATGGAGACATAACTATTTTGCGTTTTGTTAGTTTAGTGGCTAATTTGTACAAAAATGTACAATTTTCAAATGTAGGTATAACAACAAACCCCACTTACAAACCTAATCATCATTGGGGGCAGGGGCGGACTGGCCATAGGGAGCACCGGGACATTTCCCTGATGGTCTATCTTGCCTGCCACCGTGATTCTGACCTGCCGCTCTTCACTTTGGCCTGACCTTCAATCACTTTTCCCGGTTGAAAATGCTGTCCTAGTCCACCCCTGACTGGGGGATTAGCAAAGCGTACTAAATTATACAAATAGAATGGTACAAATTCTTACCAATTAGCCACTTAATCAAAATGTTACAAATTGCCATGAGACAGCGATAGGTTACTTAAATAATATTGATGTTCTTCATGTTTTAAATTATAAATGTGAGGAAGAATATTGCACCTGACACAGTTTAATTTTTAAAAGATCTTACTGGCTTGTAGTTTATTTGTTACAAATATGAAATTACATCAACACTCAAAGTAGTATAAAACAGATTTCCTTATCATCACTTGAGCATGGAGGGAAGAGTTCAAACGTGAAGCAGTTTCCATCATCTGAATTGTATTATTTTGCAGTGTGTGTCAACATGGCACATTCCAGTGTGAGTTCCGCCCGTGTCCATCCATGTGCACTGCTTATGGAGATCGACACTACCGAACATTTGATGGCTTTCTTTTTGATTATATTGGTGTTTGTAAGGTGTACTTGGTCAAGGTGAGCGTTTAGCAACAGATCCAGATTCCCGTAACTCAATCTGTATATCACTGACAGCACATTTCTTCATGATATGTTGTTGACTGGTAGTAATATGTTCTCATTTGTGTATTAGAGCTCATTAGATGCAATGCTGACTGTCACAGCAGAAAATGTTGACTGCTTTGAGAGTGGCGTGATCTGCAGGAAGTCTCTCCACATCTCCGTAGGCCGTTCCTTCATTGTGTTTGATGATGACACTGGCAGACCTGTGAGTGAGCTTTATTCACTATGTTTTATGTCATAACCTGCTGTAAAACCTTATATGACTAGTCTGATTATGCTTCACACATTTCTGTTTTGCTCCGGTTTCCGCCACAGTCCAAAGACATGTGGTACAGGTGAATTGGGTAAGCTAAATTGTCCGTAGTGTATGTATGTGAATGAGTGTGTATGGATGTTTCCCAGAGATGGGTTGCAGCTGGAAGGGCATCCGCTGCGTAAAACATGTGCTTGATAAGTTGGAGGTTCATTCCGCTGTGGCGACACCAGGTTAATAAAGGGACAAAGCCAAAAAGAAAATGAATGAATGAATGATTGACATATCTATTTTTGCTGGAAATAAAAACAGTCTCTAGAGTTGTCATCCAATAAATATTTATGAGTCAAACTGAGGTTGGGTGTAAAAGTTACAAAAGAACTAGTTTTGCTGTTATTAAATGTAGTTTCTGTTAAAAAGTAAAGTAAGGAATTACTTTTAATTGTAATGTAATTTAGTTAAATTTATTTGTGATGTACTTGCCTTAAATACTGTACATGAATTAGATCTGTATAAATCGTTTCAGAGAGGCAGAGTACTTGTATTTTTCTGTTATTCAGATATTTTGCATATTAGCCTGATTTTTCAACTAGATTGGACATGCTTAAGGAACAATTAAATTAGAAATGTGTCCATATATGGTATGAAATATGGTGTCATTGATATGAAATGATTTTATACAAATATTGTTTTACATTTTAAATGTTAATTAAAAAGAAATAAAAAAGAGTCCTGTTTGACTTAAATTTAAATAAATAAAAGTTTAATTTCTACTATATGTGCATCGAGATTTATATGGACTTTAAATGGTAACAGGTTGAGTAGTTAAAGTACTTAAGTTTAATTAAGTTACTGTTCAAAAAAAGTATTTGGTAAACCCTTACACCTTTAGCTTATTCCTATACACCACTGGGTATGAGTAAATACACTTTTTAATGCAAGTCATGATGATGTTTGACCTGTTTCTCTGAACACTGAATTAATTTGTGGCTATTGGTCATGTGCAGAACCCATCCAGTGTGATTGACAGGCAGAGAGCATATATCTGGCAGGCAGGATATTACACCATTGTACATCTGCTTGGGGAAGACCTCACAGTGCTGTGGGACAGAAAGACCACCATACACATACAAGCTGGACCACGCTGGCAGGTAAAAACACAATGGTGAATGTGTTACTAAATGTAAACATGTGAATTAGTTTTTCCAATTAACCATTTTCTTTTAGAGTTTTGATTACCGTACAAGACTGCATTTTTATTTTTTCAATTCTTAGGGCAGGCTTACTGGTCTTTGTGGGAACTTCGATCAGAAGACAGCGAATGAGATGAGAACACCAGAGAACATTGACTCGTCAACACCACAGGAATTTGGCAACAGCTGGACAGCAGCAGAGGCACGACAAACAGATAAATATACATGCAACAGCAATCACTTTTTTATAGTTGTTGGTGTGGATAGATCTTTCCCAACAAATAATTTGTCTTTTTAAGTGCCAGTGATTATGTAATGATAATACACAAGCAAAACGCAGTGTCTTAACTACATGTGATGCGGCGACACTCAATAAAAGCTATCTTTTTTATGTTAAAAGAGGTCTTTGTCCTAAGCATCTTTGGCGGGGTCGAGCGAAATTTCTGTTTTATAAATGCTTTCTTTTTCTGCGACGTCACGTCAGAGCAACAGCATAAACAACAACAACAATGATCACCTCAGGTACAGATTATGTGCGTTATTCAGTATAAATGCTACCAATGTGAGTTTGAACACCATATTAAGTGGCATTTATTGTCATACTACTAAAAAGCAGCAGCAAATAGTTCACCTCAGATCTTAAAAACATTAAATAACTCGCAAAAAGTTTGAAAATTGTCTGAACTGTGACAACTGTAAGCCAACAACAGTCACTCAGAATCCTATGTACTTTTAATAATGTTAAATAGGTTATTATTAATTAGATTACAACACTTACTACTTCATCTGGAATGCAGTGGCTGGTAAATGAATTGCTGGAATTCAAATGTTCCTGTCGTGTCATGTCATGCTTGGTGTGCACAGCTAAATTGCTTGGTGCTGAAATTTTACCGCATTGTGTGTTGTTAGTTCACAGTGTAATGATGCATAAACACTTTCACTTAGCATTGCTAATAGTCATTTAGAGTTTGTAATTTGATGTCAAAAAAGTAAATGTCCTACAATACGGTAAGCTTTGACACCAGTCATGTCCTTGTAAAATAGTTTTAATGTTATTGGTGAAGTTTTCTGTATGTGGACTGGAGCTTTGAAACAGAGCTCATTTAGACCAGTGGTTCTCAAAGTGGGGGTCGGTACCCCCCGATGAGTTGCGGGACAATGACAAGGGGGGTCGCCTGGTGATTTCCAAAAATCTATTTATTTTTTATGAAAACCATAGAATTACCATATTTTATCCATAACCTACTGAAGAGAAAAACTTGTTGTTTAGAATTACTATATACTCTATAGTTACTATTGTAGCTTATAGTTACTAGATCTATTTGATTGCGACCCCTGGGGCAATTACAAAATATTAAAGACACAGCAATAATGTCAGATGCAGCAGATTGGTTTTATAACACCAGGTTAAACATTCTGGCCCATTTACAGCGCTTACATACATTAAAAAATAAACAAAGAATATACTTAGGTCTATTGGTGTGTGTGCGCCATTGCATGCAAGGTTTCTGTATTTATAACCACCTCAGAAGATATTAGGGGTTGCGAGTGACTGGCATTGTCATTTTGGGTGTGGCGGGCTGAAAAGTTTGGGAACCCCTGCTTTAGACAACTTTTTCCAACACATCAGTAGTTTTTCAGGAAACGTGTAAGTTCACCTTTTCTTCCCCTGTCAGTAAGCATTGTTTGTAAATAAGTGAAATGAGCTTGATGACTCCTCCAACAGAGATGACAGTATCTGTGCAATCAGATCAAATGTTGCTGACATTCATTTTAAAGTAAGCCTGTTGGGTAATTTATATTCCGCCGCCAAAAATGAGTGAGGTCATGATTGTATGATGAATTGATAGAATGATTATTGTGACAAACCTAAGTGTTGAAAACCTTGTGGTGGTTAAGCACTTTGAAATATAGCACAGATGTGGTCACCATGACCTGGGTTTAATAATTGAGGCAGTGTTGTTTTGCATTACAAATGGTTTTTAATTTAACCAAAGTTCAGGCAAGCAAGTGACATTATTTGTCTGATTTGCCATTTTTGGAGGTAAACAGCTGCCTATCTGAGGATGCAAACATTCTGATTCAAAACCAAGAAGAAAAAAAACACAATATGAACACATTTTAATTGGGAGCTGAAGGGGGAGAACAATTTAAATCAGGATTGGACCAGGCAATTACAGTACAGTAGATGAAGTTTGAAAGCACCCTGAGCACTTGTTTTGACCACACTGTGTGTCAGAAATCTGATGGTAGTAACACTTAAGAATGTTTTTGTGAATGTCTCATCAGTGTGTGAACAGTCCTGATATAAGGCACCCCTGCAATCTGAATCCACTTCGAGAACCCTTTGCAAAACGGCAGTGTGGGATTTTGCTCAGTGAAGTGTTTCAAGTCTGCCACCCTGTGGTAAGTCGATCACCTCTGAGTGGTTATCATTCCCACTGAGAGAAAATGTGCATGTGAGTGAGAAAGGGTCTCTGTGTTTAAAAGTGTTTGATGCTCTGTAGGTAGATGTCACATGGTTCTACATGAACTGCTTGGTGGACACATGTGGCTGTAACCGTGGAGGAGACTGTGAGTGCTTCTGCACAAGTGTTGCAGCATATGCTCACCGCTGCTGTCAGAAGGGCATACCTATTGACTGGCGCTCTCCATCTATCTGCCGTGAGTGACACCTCTCAATGACTAAATTCATAACAAATAAATATGCTTTAATGAAGAAACACTCTTCTAAAACTAACTGATAGATAACAGTAATAAGCAACTGAACATCTAATGGTTGGTTGATTCCTATGAAACAATGAGTAATACTTGCTTCTTCCTCCTACAGCTTATGACTGTGAATACTACAACAAAGGTGCATCTGCAATATTTGATAATAATATTTATTATTGTCTGAGATCTATTTCATTTTTACAACTGTGCATGTTTTTTTTTTTTTTTGTAATCCACATAGCTTTAGGGAAAGGGCCGCTGAAGCTGTTGACCTACAGAGAAAGGGGAACACTGTTAGCAGCCAATAAGACAAGTGGACTGGTGTTCCCAAAAAGAGACCTGACCAGTGTTGATGAGAATCTAGTGCTGTTCATGATGACACCAGGCATCAGCAAAGCCAGACCACATGGTCAGTCAAACAGACAATTTTTCAGTTTATATTAATAAAATAAAACATGCAGATTACATATAATTTAGATGTTTCATTCTCCTGAATACATTTGTTTTGATATGCGCATTTATGTTTCAGCGTACTTTAGACAATGGGCCAGGTTTACAAAACAGGGCGATTGCAAAACAATGCCGATGGGTGTGTCTATGGATAATTTACAGACAATGTAAAAGAAAGAAGGCATAACATTGCATTAAAATGTCGACCCATGTAATAAACACAGAGAATATTATATGAGAGACTTGCTTTGTTTAAAAATAAAGTGGATCTAATTGGATTTGCATTTTAAACATTAAAGAAAAGTTAAAAATGATTATTTTTTATTTTACAAATGAAGGTTTTAGTTTAGATCTTTTTTTTTTTACCAAATTTTACCAAATTTCTCTGCAGAACTGGCAAAAAGCATCCACAGATTCCATCTGGCCATACTTATAAGATGCAGGTGATTTACTATGACAAAGCAAGATGCAATGTTTTTTTCTACCGGGTGAAAGGGAGAGCTAGACAAATATGTGGGGGTGCTAAGAAAATAATAAGATAATATTTTTTTAATGATGACAAAGTTAGCCCACTTTGTAAAAAAAAATGTAGTTATTTAATTAAAACAGCTATAAAAAAAATGTTAGCTTTACAAATACTATAGTTTTATTTTTTTTAGACCTATTTTTTATTGACCAAAGAATATGCATATTCACAAAATTGACAAGCTTAAGCGACTCCCAGACAATGAAAAAATCATTTTACTTTGAAAGAAAAAAAACGTATGCCTTATATTTACTTATAGTAAGTAATATCTGACTTTTTTATGTGTGACAGTCCACAACATGTGCATTTTGACAACTCCCATGCAGGGAGAACAGATCACACACTGTCTAAGGGAACTAAGATTGCACTGGTATTACTTGACTCACCCTAGTTGTTTGATCCAGGTCGTCTTTTAATTGCTGAAGCAAATTAAAAATAACATATTTGGTAAATGGGTAACGCAGTGGCACAGTAGGTAGTGTTGTCACCTCACAGCATTTAGGTTGCTGGTTCGAGCCTCGGCTGGGTCAGTTGGCGTTTCTGTGTGGAGTTTGCATGTTCTCCCTGTGTTCGCGTGGGTTTCCTCCGGGTGCTCCGGTTTCCCTCACAGTCCAAAGACATGCAGTACAGGTGAATTGGGTAGGCTAAATTAGTAGTGTATGAGTGTATGTGATTGTTTCCCAGAGATGGGTTGCGGCTGGAAGGGCGTCCGCTGTGTAAAAACGTGATGGATAAGCTGGCGGTTCATTCCGTTGTGGTGACCCCGGATTAATAAAGGGACTAAGCCAAAAAGAAAATAAATGAATGAATATTTGGTAAACATTTTCTTTGAATCTTTGGACAAAAGGTATCTCTGGCATTCCAAGTAAATGTGTGTGGAAAAATCTTCTAACTCTAACATTCCCGCTATGTACCTTTTTTCTTCTTTTTTCCTTACCTCCATGTTTCCATTGACTTATTTTCTTCTTTTTAAGAATTGCTATGATTTCTATAACCCATTGCACATTTTTAGTAAAACTTGCTATATGTCTGTATAAGCACATTTTAAATTCATTTTGATAACCTTAAACAAACATGTTAAGGGGGAAAAAAACATACACGCACTGTTTTCTGCAGTTACATTTGCTAGGAACAACGCCTGCAGCCATTTCAAGCACAACAGTTAAGTCATGTTTTTAGATATTTAATAATTCCACAACTATTTAGAATTTGAGCGACACAAAGGTTAATAAATTGCATTGTGAAATTCATTTAAATACTTCCCTCCCATAAAATTAGCATCTGATTGGGAAACTATTCAGTTAGGTCAGGCATATAAATAGTTGTGTCAATGCCTTTTCAGTTGCAGTTTTTTATGCATGTATTTAGTAAAAACAGTACTGTTTTAACGCCACAAAAGACTATTTGCACCGGCTTTAAGTGAATTTGGCCCTAAATGTGGCTTTTATGATATGTATATGTTGTCATTGTGTAATGTTATTTATGTTGCAGACTCATCTCTGGTGTCATTTGAGGCGGCAGACAGACCCAACTACTTCTTAAAAGCAGAGCAGGGTAGCCAACTGAGACTTGGGAAGTGGGAAGATACACCGGCATTCTGGGATGCAGCTACATTTGTCCTTCATAGAGACACTTGGATTCCAGGCTTTGATTCACTGGAGTCACTGGCAAGACCTGGATTTTTTCTGCATTTCATGCTGTCCAGACTTCAGCTACAGAAATACAGTCACTCAGATCGGTACCGCCGAGCTACTCTATTCAAACTGACAGGTCAGACTGTGACAGATAATTAATGATACTTAGTTATAGTGACTCAGTAATATTATAACTGCCTAACTCATTTTTTCCCATAATTTTTATTATTTTATTTCAGGTGCCATACCACATTATCCAATGGGTCCTCGTTGTCAGTGGAGGTTTGAGTCATGTGTGAGACCATGCTTCAGGACCTGCAGTGACCCATCAGGTCTGAGCTGTACCAGCATTCTTAAGTAAGAGCATGCACACTCATACATCCAAACACACAAATATCTATCAATGCCTGAGGTGTATTTCTGAGTGATGTGGTTTACAATTGTCTTCCTGTAGGATTGAAGGATGTTTGCCTCAATGTCCAAGTCACATGGTTCTAGATGAGGTTACTCACAGATGTGTCTCTTTGGAGGACTGTAAGTTATTATTTATTATTAAGCTTAAGCTTTTAAATCTGTCTTCAGTCATTTTCGAAGTAATTGACTAGAGCAGGTTATGTTATGTTAGTGACAACTTTGCACATGTTAGTAAAAATACTAACCATAAAAACAAACCATTTCATACATGGAATCCAAATAGCTGTATAAGTTTAAATTAATTATTGTTTTGTGCAGCATCTAACAAATAATGTGCTTGTGTTTTAGGCATTAGGCCTCCTGTTGTTCCTCCATTCACACTACCCAGCACTACAATATCATCAACACCCTTCTCCGAAGATTACACCTCGAGCATTCCAGCGGTTTCTACAGCACTCATCTCTACAGCAGTGTCAGAATCTAGTGCCACCACAACACCTACAACACACATGCCAACCACTGAAAAACCTACAACTTCCCCTATCAGACCTGAGGTGGTGGAAGTTATCACCACATTAACAACATCCTCTTCCTCCTGGAGTCCTCTGGCTTCTACTGAGAGAACCACTAAAGCACCAAGCATCACATCTAGTCCCACTTCCTCCACTACATTGTACACTAGCCCTGTGTCTATCTCAGCACCTGTCTCAGTTACCTCTACAACAAGCAGCCCAACAGAGTCTTCAACACCGTTCACACGTACCACAACTATTCCCTCGCAACCTAGTTCTAGCCCTGTTCTACGATCTACCTCAAGTTCAGAGCAGACCAGAGTAAGCACTTTGCCTGTTCTTCCAGTATCAACTAGTATGGGCCCCACAGAAGCCACTTCCCCAACTGTGAAAGTGTCATCTCCCCTCACCTCAATAACAGAGACTGCCAGAGTCTCAGAAGCCATCACACCCACTGAAAAGACCACAACACCTACTGTGTCTTCAAGTGGCATTTCACAGTTTCCTGCTGAATCCATTAGTATGACAAAGTTCACCTCACTGTCCACTACAACACCTGTATTAGAATGGAGAACCTCTGGCACCACAGCAGAAATGGCACCATCAACATCTTTGGACACTCTGAAGACCCCTGAGAGCACCTCTGAAACCCAGAAGCCTTCGTACACCACTACCATTCCTACTTCCCCAACAGATACTAAAGCATCCACCACTTATATTACAGTAAAATCCACAAGTTCTGCTTTTGCAACGCCACCTGCTACTCAAACAACTCTCTATACTCCTTCAACAACTTCAGAGCAACCCGAAACTTCAAAAACAACAGTGTCTTTCTCTACGGCTGCTCCAACAAGTCTTACTACAGTTTCTTCTCAAGCTCCTGCATTTGTGCCAACAAAAACCACTGCAAAAACAACTTATCAGCCAACATCTGTTATTTACACTTATCCCGATGGTCCAACTACTGATAGGGCTTTACAGACAGATTGGAGAGTAATCCAAACAACTTCAACTCAATTAGAATTAACAGAAACATCTCAAATCAGTGTCAGGACAGCAGAAACCCCGCTTACCACCTATACTACAATGCCACCCACCTGGGCACCTACAGAAGAAACAACAACACTGCTTACATCGCAAATGTCGCCCACTGACAAAACAACTTCTAGAGTTCCCTCCACTTCTACTACACTCGGCTATACAGAGTCCTCCTGGAGTTTATCTTCCACCACTTCTCTTTATACAGAGAAAGTCAGCACATCACCAATTCATCCTCATTATACTACAACTGTGGCCACCACTCCTGCACTGTCTGAGATTTCTTCAGCCTCACCATCCATACTTACATCATCAGTATCTCAAACGACATCAATATCTCAAACCCCAACAATAACCACAGAAACAGCTGTCACTTCTGAGAAACCTCTGCTAACATCTACTGCAGCTGAAGAGGAGGTTGTTTCCACCACTCAAACATCCACAACTACACATTTGACAATACATCTTGATACAGAGACAACTAAGGCTTCTCTTGACACAGATAGGGCTGTGATTACAACTGCTGCGACCGCCCAGACACCAACTTTGGTGCATGAAACCTCCAGTACCATTCCTTCCACAATGGCTCCAAGACTTACAACTCGTATCACACCGGTCTTAACCTCACGGGTAGGTGTAGATACCATTCGACAGACTCCACAAGATGTGGCCACAACTAGCATTTCACCTCCTACTAGGATTGAGACAACAATGACAACATCTACTACAGTTTCGACAGAAAAAGAGACCTCTGTTTCCACAACTATTCCAAGTACAGCTGCTGCTTCTAGCACACTTACAACACCCATACCTGAAATCCCAGAATTCACCTCTGGGTTTACAGAGTACACTGCTGTATCTGGTTCAACCACAACACTGCCTTCATTTACTGGAACAACTCCAACTCGAACTGGAACAACTACAACTCCTGTGGCGTCAGTTCTTACCCAGACTACTATTTCAACACATCTACCTACTTCCTCTATTGTCACTACAAGTAGTCCCATAACCAGCTCAAGTACCTCTACAGAACACCATCTGGTGGATGAAAGTCCCATGGTCACAACTCTGCCACCTACTCCAGACACTGCCCAAACAACACGAAGTACATCTGTGAAGACCAGTCTACCTTACACAATAGAAACAGAGCACTGGATGACAAGCCAGACACAAGCTGTACCCAAAACTACTGCTCATGAGCCAAGCAGAGTATGCACTGTGAGTCAGTTATGAACTGCGTTAGATGTGGGGTACAGTATGAACACTATTCTCTTATATTTACTTGTGTGTTTGTGTGTCTGCAGGCTCCATATTCGGAGGTAGTGGATGAATGCACAAAGCTTATTTGTGTCAGTGGCCAGTTGCTCCTCTTCAATAAGTCTCAGAGCTGCCCTTATGATCCTACACCCCCAAATTGTGGTCTACTTGGGTTTGCCGTACTAGTCAATGGTGATAAGTGTTGTCCACGGTGGGACTGTCCATGTGAGGAACACACATTAACACTATCTATTTAATTTCCGTTCTGCCATTAAATGTTTTATCTAAATGTGTTGTTTTATTTTGGCATGCAGGTCGTTGTTCAGTGTTTCCAGATCTTAATCTGATCACATTTGATGGGAAAAGTGTTGCAATTTATAAAGCTGCTTTATATGTGGTGACTCAACTTCCCAACGAGACAGTTAGCATCCTGGTACAAGAGTGTTCTGGACCAGATGACACGGTAAAATATCCATAACTGTCTATTAGTTTACCTACTGTTCAGAATCACCCACTTCAAATGTTATCTCTTAGACTGAATTGCCATTATCAGTGATTATCAGCTGATAGATATGGGCCAGTAGGTGCCCAGTACTGGTAGGCTCAGAAGGCTGTTATCATCCATCCCCATAGTTAATCAGCTATACTAATAGATAAAACTCCAGATCCGGATCTGGTTTTATATTACTGTGACGGTTGGTTTAAGGGTTGGAGTAGATGTTAATAAAATATAATTAATAGGTAATTTAATAAATAATATAAATAATTCTTGTGGTTTATCAGCTATACTAATAGAGAAGACTCCAGTAGGGGTAGACAATAATAAAATACAAATAATGGGAAATTTTATATATAATATAAATAATTCTCGTTAATTTCTCGCCGCAGCCGTATGTGATCTATAGCTGATTAACCATGTGGATGGATTATAACAACCTTCTGAGGCCCTTTTTACACTAATCTGTTTTAGTTTTAAAATGCATAAATTTTGCTACGGTTACGCCTTCTGTCCACACTACGCAGAAGTTTTCATGTGCCGAAAAGTGAGAGAAAATCTGAAAACAGAGGCGGGGCTGCAGACATTTGATCTGATTGGGGCTTTTTCCTCAATATTATATAGCCTAAACAAAGTACATTTTTCAATCCTCTCCTTGTAAGTTCAGACTTTGCAAGTCTAATATGGAAAACAAACTTCCGAGGACACGTCGAGTAAATCTTCAGAGGGAACAGTGTACTTTATAACTTCATTCGCATCACCCTGGATCCGTTGTTTCACTATTTTAACAATAAAATGAAAATATGTTATAAGAAACTGCCTATTTTCATTTTTATATTAACAACTTAACAGAGCCCAAAAATGTTGAAGCATCATGTAGCTTCATATTTATATGAGCGTCATCTTCATTGTGTGCATATTTATAACAAAATAGAGCTTATAACATTACTGCCTCCTATCAATTTTATTGAAAATACGAAACATACCCACTCTTTTGCAGATTAGTAGTTTTAATAATCAATAATGGCCATTATAAAAGTATAACCATATCAGTCAAATGTGTAGAATAAGTGTATATGGTTACATAAATTAATATATTAACTTATCTTTGCCCTCAGCCAAAGCTCGTTACCTGAGAACAAGTAATATATTCCACAGACCAAAGTCGGGGAATATGTTTTAAATGTTGACAAGAAAAAGAAATAAATATCACGTTTAACAAATACAGTGAGATTAGATCCAGTGGTAGATCCTTGATGAACTGTCCAATGAGCAGAGCGGTCATTTTCATTCTAAAACACCGTTTTAAAACTAAAACTTGATAGTGTAAACGGGGCTTGAGCCTACTAGGCACAGAAGGTCTCTATACTGGCCCATATCTGTCAGCTGATAACCACTGATAATGCCCATTCAATCGAGTGATAACATTGGAATCGGCTGTTCAGAATAACACTTCAATGCATTTCAAAAATCCTTTAGTGCAAATATTTATGTGTGTTTTTTAAATATGTTTCTGTTTGATTCCAGCTTGTGTGGAACTTTACTAATTTGTGTCTGGCAGCTTTAAACATCACTCACAAATCTAACGAAGTTCTTGTGAATCGTCTTCAGAGACGTGTGAGTATCTATCAGTTTGCTTTTTTTGAAAAAAGATTTTTAAATGGCTTAAATAAAACCTATTAATGAGTGGAAGAGATTCAAAGGTTCACTGTGTTGTTTTTTCAGCTGTATGTGAACTCTAGGTATGCAAAGCCACGTTTTAAGAAGTATGGTTTTGAGATTCTGGACACAGGAAACATGTACCTTATACGGAGTCCAGCTGGTTTGAAGATCCAGTGGTTCCACACTACAGGCATGATGGTGATTGAGATGGACAGCTATAACAATAGACTGCCCACGATGGGATTGTGTGGTATGAAACCAATAACTGCACATCTTATCCACTCTCAAGAGAATAAAATCATCTGCTTCCACATTCCTCACTCTTCACATCTTTCATCTTTCTCTTTGTCACCCTGTCCAGGTAGTTGTGATGGTAATCCATTAAATGATCTGACTCTGTCTAACGGTACAGTTGTGCCTGAGCAAGAGGATCCAGCCGTATTCATCGATAGCTGGCAGATTCCCAACACCACCAGCTACGTCAGCAACAGCAGGCGGCGAGAAGTCAACTGCACCACCAGTGACTGCTCTCAGTGCTTTAACATGCTGAACAACAACACCTTCACCCTCTGCCATGCTTATGTATGACACACCAAATGCACCTGCCTCAGGTATCAACCACATCTTCAGAACACTTACTGGAGTTTGTGTTGCAGGTTCCTCCAGGAGTGTTCTGTGAGATGTGGGTGAGAGATGTGGAGTATGTCAATAATCCGTGTATCGCTTTGGCTGCTTATGCTGCTTCCTGCCACAAATTCAACATCTGCATGGAATGGAGGAGCTCTGATTTTTGCCGTATGTATGCTCAGGCATTTTAACACTGCTTTAACTAGCCGTTTGTTTTATGGCTGTATATATATATATATATATATATATATATATATATATATATATATATATCATTTAAATGCAACATGTAGTGTTTTTTTCTAGAATAATGCTTGGGTGTTTTTCTGTGTAGCATTCGTGTGCCCAGGAAACCTTCGGTACCAAGCATGTCTGCCTGCCTGCACTGCCCCATCCTGTCCAAACCAAGAGTTTGAGTTTGTCCCAGAGCAATGCACAGGCCTTTCAGAGGGCTGTGTGTGTCCTGAGGGGACTCTATTACACCGGCCCTATTCAGCCCTCTGCATTCCACCCAGCAAGTGTGGTATGACCCTAGTCTTTTTCTTTCTTTTTCTTTATTCAAAAGTGCAGTGATTACTGAGAAACGCCTTTGATATTTGAAATCAACACCAAAACAAATAGCTCAACCAGAATGAAATGCATCTCTCCCTCTGTTTTGTTTACATAAGTTAAGATAATGAATGGTGAAGGAAATTGTTTTTGTGCATGTTTGAAGTATTTCTATTGCTCAGAAAATTCTCTTACTGCACCTTAACTTAAAAGTTCACCCCAAAATAAAAATTCACTCACTATTAACCCAACCTTGTGTGCTTCCAAACCTTTCTGTTGATCTCAAAAGAAGATATTGGTAACACCTTCTATGAAGACCATGCTCATAATGTATTTTAACTCTGTATACATACAATAGAGATGTTAAGTAAACCTCAAAAATGTGAATTATTTACATAATTAATCCTTATGATTAATGACGGACTAGTTAATACTTATAAATCAGTCTATAATATATTGTGAACATATATATTGAAAAATCAAATGCATCGCTAAGTATTACCAACACTATTATAAATATAGCTACAACTGTGTTCATAATACAGTATACAGTAGGTTTTGTTGTGGCTTCTTAAATACATTTATACAATTGTTATGCTTGATTATAAATAATTATAATCACTTCATAGAAAGTATTTCCAAGATGTATTGGAAAATGGTAGAAACTAAAATAGTAGAACTATCTCTTTAAGGGGCAATTATTTGTTGTTTTTGAATAATATGTGACATGGTTTGTGTTCGCAGCATGTACTGATAGTTTTGGAGCCCCTCGTGCACTCGGCGAGGTGTGGAAAGCTTCATTAGACGGCTGCTGCATGTATAAGTGTGAGAACGACAGTATAGTGCCAGTGGAGTACAACTGCAGTAACATCCCTCAACCTGTCTGTACGCGTACTGGAGAGATCACGGTCAACCTCGCTGATGACAGCAGCTGCTGCCCTCACAAAGCCTGTGGTCTGTTACACTATTACCTCACACATACCTATAGAGGGGCTGGGCAGGATGATGGCAAATATCTGTCGCATACATTGTAGTGTTAACATAGTACAAGTTAACATCAATCGGGTTAAAAAATACATGACTCCTTTAGTAATTACAAGCGTTTTCCAGTAACCTATCTTAAACTGGAACGATATAAAACAAATGTACAGTATAGTGTACAGTAAACTGAATCGATTATTGTGAAATAATGCAAAATGCCTAAATATGATAGAGAACATTTGTTTATGTCACTGATTGTCGTTAACTTTTAAATCATAACAGAGTTGATATTTTACACCACTTTGTGATTTAGCTTAATATGCTAACTTCAAACCAGATACTGCATAGCATATCTAAACAGAAGTTGGTGTATTTTCATTGTATTATTCTTTTTAAAAAGTGAATGATAAATCCACTGAAATATCACTACATAGTAATTTGAGTTGGCAATAATTACTCTACTACTGGTGTGTTCTAAATGTTTTGACCAAATTACTGAGAGAAGAATTAACGACATGCAACAATGCCTTCAGAGTTTCTTACCAGAGAAAATGACATCACTTGGAGCTAGTCGCATGTTTTTTTTTTTTTTTGTATCAGCGCTTTACAGATTGCCATGCCTTTTTATAACTGATGTAACAGAGTTGAGCAGAACGTGGGACAGATACAACAATATATATTTTTTTTATAACTGAAATTATAAATAGTGCTTAAAATAGATGTTTCATGCAAATGCTTACTTAATAGAGTAAACGCTTTAAAAAAGAAAGAGTACAGTTTCATGATAACTGAAGCTGCTTGTATGATTTACAAGGTGGAGGCAGTCAAAAATAAGTATGATTGGTGTCGATAAGTAGATATTTTAAGACAAATTGTCCCTAAGTACACAAACAAACATTATTTTAGAGATAACTTATTATCCAAAGTTGTTTAATTAAAAAAATTAGCTTTAAAAAAATAATAATAATAATAATAAGTAAAAATAATAATAAAAAATAATAGGTTTATCTTGGAGACGCAATTCGAGAATCACTCAATAAAATACATTACATTTTTTCATTTTTACATTTAGGTGTAACACTTTATTTTGACGGTCTCTTTTTGGACATTCTGTTGGCTATGGGTTTCTCTGAAAGTACATTTCAGCTCTCATTGTACTTCATATTAGTATGATCACTTAAATAAGATGACTTTTTGCTATTTACTATACTGTAAAAAATAAAAAGTTGAGTTAACTTAAAATTCCAAAGCAAAGAAATTGAGTTTATTCAACCTAAATGGTTGAAATGCCAAATTATTTTTTAAATTGACTGAAAATGCTGGTTTAAGTCAAGTATACTTTATAAAGTAAGTGGATTTAACTTAATTTCAAAAAATAATTTGGCACAAATTTAACCTCCAGTTTAAAAACTCAATGTTTCTTTGTAGCTGTTTGCTTTAAAATTATGTTTACTCAACGTTTAATGTTTGACAGTGCAGGAAGTAAACACTTAAATGAAGAAATCAAAACTGTACGTCTCCTCATCAGCATTCATTATGTTTATTGAACAAACAGTTCTACAAAAGCAGTTAAATAGGTTTCTTAAGTAAACTCAACACTGAGCTCAAAAATATGTCCACCTAACTTAAAATTTTAAACTGAGTTAACAATTTGTAAGTCGTAAGTTTTAAAATGTCTACGGTTCAATCTATGATTTGATATATTCATTTATTTCAAACCCGAATGTCATACACTTAAAACAATTCTTCAAACAAAATACATTTCATCATCATCAATAAAATATTTACTCATCCATATACACTTAAAATAACAACTAAATTTAGCGGGATGAAGCACACACTTATTATTTTCCCCATCCTGTTACCACATCTTTCCACATTTTAATTTTTAAACTTGTGTAGTTAGTATAATATTTGCTGAGAGCATCAAAATAAAGTTTCACCCATGCTGTATATGATGCTTTGTGAGAGGCTTTAACTTGTGCTTAATTGTTTTTGCAACAGTTTGTAATCAGAGTATGTGTGAGGCGGCTCCCACAGGCTGTAAATACGGGGAGAAGATGGTATCATATTATAGACAGGACTCTTGCTGTCCCGAGTATTTATGTGGTGAGTTTGGCCCTACAATAGTTTGTGTATAAGGTTTTCTGTGTTGTGTGCTTGCATCCATGTCATATTTGTTAATTGTGATTTTAGAGTGTGATCCTGATCAGTGTGTCCTGGATATTCCTGTGTGTCGAGAAGATCAGACACTAATTGCCACTCGTGCTGACGGCAGCTGCTGTTTGGCACACATCTGCAGTAAGATATTATGATAAGTGTAGTCAAGTGTAGTCAAGTCAGTTCAATTTAATCATATGAGACTTTCTTTATTCTTTGCAACAAAAACTGTGAAGAATATTCATTGAATTGATTACTGTCCCTTTATCTGAATTATTTAATTCTAAGTCATCAGAAGTCGTGTTAATACATAATGACAGTATTAGTGCTGTACTTGGAGATTGAAATTATTAGCACAATTACTTTACCAATTTTTTTTTGTGTTAGTGTGTGACAAATGCCCAGAGGCAGTTCCAGTGTGTCAAGATGGAGAACTGCTGATTGTGGATACCAACAGCACAGAGCGCTGCTGTCCAGCTTATCACTGCTGTGAGTACAAAAACATCACTGACTTTTACCATATTTTCCACAAAGGTAAATTCAGCCAGTAAAAGCAGGTGAGAAAGTTGTACACTAAAGCTTACATTGCAGTTACCTTTACAGTTGCTTTTGAAAATATTTTTCAATATGTTTTGTAAAATATTATAACTGAATATGCACTGTGAGTTTAGGTTTGGGCAAAGAGCTTAGAATGACCAAGAGGCAACACTCCATAGAAAGTTCCATTGCAACAGCAGCGCCCAACAACAGCCCTGGATTCCGCCATTTTGGAGTGAAAGCGATCGGCTGTCCATTGGATCTTATTCGTGTCACGATGCAAAGCAGCTTTGTTTTTTTATTTATTTATTTATTTAAAAAGCGAATTAAAGCTGAGATACTACCTGAAAGATGACAATACAGAACTTACTATCACAATCATACGCACTTTTAACAGTTTATTTTACAGACTTTAAATATGCTGTTGTTCTATAGGAGTTTTCATTCCAAAATGGCCACCGCGCCATCTAATGGCTGTTTCCCAAATTGCACTAGAGTGTCGCCTCTTGGTGATTCTATGCTCTTTGGTTTGGGTGAAAGAGTTGTTTATTTTCAAATTTGCTTAATTGAAAAATGAGAAGTTGTTTAGTCTGCACAAATCTTAAAAACAAAGTTTGTCTTTAACTAAAACCAGTGAAGGCTTGCCTAAAACTATTGTGTTGTGTGTATGCATGTAGTGTGTGAGGCCTCCCGGTGTTTAGACATCACATGTCCAGTTGGCATGGCTGTAGTTTCCGCAAGAGATCCAGAAGAGTGTTGCCCATTGCAGACATGCGGTAAGCCTGCCAAACCTATAGTTACACTAAATACTTTAAAGTCATAATTGCAGTATATTGTTTTTGATCACTTATATACGTGTGAGAGTGTGTTACTGCTCTTATTGCATATTTTGGGTGTGTCTTCTAAAGAACATACTGTAATGTGAATCAGTCCTGAATGTGTGCTTTTTTCTTTCTTAGAATGTGCATGCGAGAAACTCCTCCGTCCTAAATGTTCTCTGGTGAGCCTTCCCATAGTTATACTAGATCCAAATGTATTATTGCTTGTTTATTATTGCTCGTGTGCATGATCAGATGGTCAGATGGTGCCTTCAAAACGGAATATACAGTTGAAGTCAGAATTATTAGCACCCCTGTTTATTTTTTCCCCAATTTCTGTTTAACGAAGATTTTTTTCAACACATTTTTACACATAATAGTTTTATTAAGTCATTTCTAATAACTGATTGATTTTATATTTGCCATGATGACAGCACATAATATCTTACTAGATATTTTTCAAGACACTACTATGCAGCTTTAAGTGACATTTAAAGGCTTAAGTAGGTCAATTACTTTAACTAGGCATGTTACGGTGATTAGGCAAGTTATTGTATAACAATGGTTTGTAGTCTATTGAAAAAAATATTTGCTTAAAGAGGCTAATAATTTTGACCCTAAAATGGTTCACAAAAAAATTAAAAACTGCTTTTCTTCTAGCTGAAATAAAACAAATAAGACTTTCCCTAGAAGAAAAAAAAATATCAGACATACTGTGAAAATTTCCTTGCTCTGTTAAACATCATTTGGGAAATATTTTAAAAAGAAACAAAATTCAAAGGAGGGCGAGGCAGTGGTACAGTAGGTAGTGCTGTCACCTCACAGCAAGAAGGTCGCTGGTTCGAACCTCGGCTTAGTTGGCGTTTCTGTGTGGAGTTTGCATGTTCTCCCTGCCTTCGCGTGGGTTTCCTCTGAGTGCTGCGGTTTCCCCCACAGTTCAAAGACATGTGGTTCAGGTGAATTGAGTAGGCTAAATTGTCCATAGTGTATGAGTGTGTGTGTGAATGTGTGTGTGTGGATGTTTTCCAGCGATGGGTTGCGGCTGGAAGGGCATTCACTGCGTAAAAACTTGCTGGATAAGTTGGCGGTTCATTCCGCTGTGGCGACCCCGGATTAATAAAAGGAACGAAGCCGACAAGAAAATTTATGAATAAATGAAAATTCAAAGGGGGGCTAATAATTCTGACGTTTTGACATACAACTGTATATATATATATATATATATATATATATATATATATATATATATATATATATATATATATATATATATATATATATATGTTTAGAGACATTTTTGAAATAGGTGAATTATGTAAAAATATTACATTTTAATTGATGTTATTATTATATGATATGTAATGTTGTATAATAAAAATATTTTATAATGTTTTTTTTTACATTTTAAACCTATTTGTTGATAAATGTGTAAAACCAAGTTTGCGGAACGGAGGCTAAGAATAATTATTTAAAATGACAATGAAGTTCATCAAACGATTCTTATTTATTTAAATAAGCCTAAAAGGTTTGTTACAAGATTTGTATTCGTTATTGTAACACTGAATGACTTTTTAATGGATAACTTCTGTAAATCTTGGTAAATGTAAGAACGTTGTTATCTTAAGTTGTAATTAATATTAATAAAATATTTTTATTTTATGAAAATAAAAACGACCTAAAAAAAGTTAAATTCTACTATTACACTTTTATGCTTAAAAATGTTTTGTCTTTGACTCTAAATTCTGATATCAAGTTTTGTGTGTGTGTGTGTGTGTGTTGTAGGGGCAAAGCATGCAGTTAGACAGAGCATTTCTGTCTGATCCAGAAAACATTTGTGCTTGTAAACGATTTATATGCGGTAAGAACTCACCTATGTCTAAAATGTTTTGAAAAACCAACACTTATACATACATTACATACATTATAACCTTTTTATTTTATTGTGTATGTGTGGTTGTAGTAAGAGAGGCTGTATGTGTGGATGGGGAGCGTGGAGTGATGCGGCCGGGACAGACACTGGTCGAGCACCGGGATCAGGGTGTGTGTTACGCCACACAGTGCACACACACACTAGACTCAGCCACTGGTTTCTACGTCCTCAGATCCACTGGCACTAACTGCACTGCACGCTGCCAGCCTGTGAGTATAACACATGAACAAAGACACTCAGAAGTCAAGCACAAAACACCTACTAACTTAACTGTGCTATCTATCCAACAGAACCAGATATATATCCCACCTAAAGACCCCAGCAGCTGCTGTGGCACGTGCAAAAATATTTCTTGTCTGCTCCGGAATGAGAATGGATCTGTAGCCATGTACAAGGTGATGTTCAGCAAATGTTCACGTTCACCATCACTCAAAACAAAACCGCAGAACAGCACTACTCGATCATTAAGATTGTTTTAAAACTGTTTTAACTAAAGTCTAATGTGCTCACCATTTATTTAGCTGCCTTAAGTAAAAATAGCTTTGTTTGTAAAATGAACTCTCTCCCACCCTCACTACACTGCATCAATAACATTTTATTTATTAATATAATATTAATATAATATAAAGTATAATATAAAATATATATAGTCTCTTTTTAAAACCTACTTCTTAAAAGTAATTTTCTGAATGTTACAATAATTACGTTCTGTTGATGTTGTTTTTTTTTTTTTTTTTTTTTTGCTATTTGTTCTCTTGGTTTTGTTTTTTGTTTTTTTGGTGAAGTGTCCTTGAGGACTGGAAAGGCATGTCATAAAATATATAATTATTTTCAGTATTAAAAATACCCTAAAATTTGTGCATATTGTGCAATATAGTTTCAATATAATGCACCTTTCCCCACTCTTTTAATATATTATACAATCAAATTTGTTCAATTGATGCAAAGCCATTACTTCAAACTTTAGGTTTGATCCGGTCACGCTTTATTTTAATGGTCTGTTAGTTGAATTTAACTTACATTGCATCTACATGCCAACTAATTCTCATTAGATTATAAGTAGACTGTTAGGTTGGGGTTAGGGTTAGGGTTAGAGTAAATTGACATGTACTTGCGAATCGTCTTATTGTCAGTTAAATGTTTGTTGAAAGAGCAGTATCAGCAGATATTAAGCAGACAGTCTAATAAAACTCAAATGGACCATCAAAATAAAGTATTACCCATGATTTATGACATTTTATATTATGGTTTTTAATATTTCTTATCGTTATCTTTCAAAAAGAATACAAATATTAACAAACTCGAACATTTTGCTGGGAAGTTTTTGACATTTGATTGATTTGACAGAATAAAATGGTAGCAAAAAAAGAACATAAGAGCAGATAATCTGTCAGAAACTATTACAAATTCTAATGGGTTTAATTTCTAGACTAGTAGTGTCCAGGGGCTTTCAAATGTATTGATGCAGATGGAGCCTTGTCCTAAAATAAAATAAAAAAAACAGCTATACATATTGATGTTAAAAAAACCCATTCTGTTTATATAGTGTCTGGTGTTCTGTGATGTGAATGTGTTTTCTGTGTTCTCTTCTCCAGCCGGGCCGCAGCTGGGTTTCTGACTGCTTGCGCTATGACTGTTCAGACACACTGGCAGGACCTGTGCTTGTCACCCACCCCTACAGCTGCCCACCCTTTAATGAAACTGAATGTATGAAGGTAAATTATCTCTGTTTCAAGAACATAAACACAAATTATACCACTGTGTGTCAAGGTACAGGTAAGACACACACTTACAGTATAAGTTACACAGAATTGTACTATATAGAACAAACACATGACACAACTGATCCTGAGACAGTGATTTTGCAGTGGTTCCATACTTTAATAAAATACTCAATGATGTTTGACCTGTGTTACATTATTCAAAGTGTTCATCTTGTTGTAGATTGGGGGCACCATTGTGAGTTATATGGATGGGTGCTGCAAAACATGTGAGTACAGAGCATACATTCTTTTGTTCATCTCTGCTCTATAACAAGAAACATGGGTAACATTACCAGCTAAAAGCTCTGGTTCCTTCACAAGCCACTTGAGCTTAGTATGACAAATGCAATCATCAGGTATTCTTGCATATCCCCATTCACACTTTATATTGATATGACACGAGTAAATCCAGTAAACATGAATTTAAATAAACAGAAAAAAATTAGAATTGTGTAATTTTTTAAAATCTAAACATTGTTGATGTGTTCCACCATTTTGTGCTTTAGCTCAAGATGCTAACCTCAAACTAGAAACCACACGGCATGTTTAAAACTGAATCTTATGTATTTCATCATATTATTGTTTTTTAAAAAGTGAACGAGAAATTCACTGAAATGTCACAATAACAGAGTTAAAGGTCCCTTGAATTTAAAATAAAGCCTTTTAGCTTGTTAGTTTTAGTATGTTAGATTTAAGGATATCTATAATAGGACAGGATATTCATAATAATAATATTTATTCTAAATTTATAATACTAATTTATATTAAATTGTCACGGTGGTCTAACAGCAAGAAGGTTGCTGGTTTGAGCCTCGGCTGGGTCAGTTGGCTTTTCTGTTTTGAGTTTGCATGTTCTTCCACTGTTTGCATGGGTTTCCTCCGAGCGCTCTGGTTTCCCCCACAAGTCAAAAGACATGCGGTATAGATGAATTGGGTAAGCTAAATTGTCCGTAGTGTATGTGTGTGAGTGATAGTGTATGGGTTTATCCCAGTGATGGATTGCAGCTGGAAGGGCATCCGCTGCGTAAAACGTATGCTGGATAAGGTGGTGGTTTATTCCGCTGTGGTGACCTCAGATTGATAAGGGGACTCAGCTGACAAGAAAATGAATGAACGAATGAATGAAACCTGATATAAACATCCAAAGCTTGCAGCTTGTCACTTCCGCCTAAATAAATCAACAATTTTACAAAATTTGGCCAATCAAATGCTCTCTAGTATCTGACATGTTCCACCCCGTTTAGATGCTGATCATTTGCTTTTTATTTGATGTACTTGGGCTCAACCTTGTGCTTGAGCTGTGATTAAAAAACAATCTCTATTGGCTGTTTTATAAAAGGGAGGAGCTACTCTAAGTCCATTTTTTTAGTTGAGATTAGATCAGTCATTCATTTATTCATTCATTCATTTTCTTGTCGGTTTAGTCCCTTTATTAATCCGGGGTGGCCACAGTGGAATGAACCACCAACTTATCCAGCAAGTTTTTTACGCAGCAGATGCCCTTCCAGCCACAACCCATCTCTGGGAAACATCAACACACAAACATTCACACACACACACTCATACACTACAGACAATTTAGCCTACCCAATTCACCTGTACCGCACCCGGAGGAATCCCAAGCGAACGCAGGGAGAACATGGTCCAGGGAGAACAAACTCCACACAGAAACGCCAACTGAGCCGAGGCTTGAACCAGCGACCTTCTTGCTGTGAGGCGACAGCACTACCTACTGTGCCACTGCTTCGCCCCCATGATTAGGTCAAACATTGAATAAAAAATGCACATTTCAAAGCAGTTTACAGGATCTTTAACAAATAATTAATCTTAACTGGTCTATCCTAAACCTTTTGTACAAATGAATAAGAAAAGAAAAAATTACATGCTTTATTGCAGGCGTGGCCAACCCTGATCCTGGTGATCTTCCTTCCTGCAGATTTCAGTTGCAACCCATATCAAACGCACCTGCCTGTAATTATGGAGTGTTGTTTAGGTCCTAATTAATTGGTTCAAGTGTGTTTGACCAGTGTTGGAGCTGAACTTTGCAGGAAGGTTGATCTCCAGAAACAGGGTTGAGCACCACTGCTTTATAGAGTCCTCCACATGCAATAGGCTTGTCACGTTGAGTGCTTTTTTTGGTGTGCGATATATTGCGCCAGATATGTTAACAGTTATAATTCTAATTAGTGTGAACATTTCCAGTCATTTTATGCTGCCAATCTATTTTAATTTATTTTTCCAAACCTTTATAATGCCTTAACCTTTTAAGAGCAGATGAGGTGACATCGCCTAAAACATTGTTGACAATCACTATTATGTAAACATAATGGGCAATATATCACATGACCAAAATTATTAAGGTCATCATCACCATGGTAAGTTGATATACTGTAGTAATTACCACATCAGGCCTAACAGCACACACCAGGAAAAAATTCTTTTCTTGCATCAGGCTGAGTATAACATTTTGTAACAATCTCTCCAGGCGCTGTGAACTCCCTGTTCCCCTTCTCTGTTAGCCCTTTGAAACCCACAGTTAACACAAACTGTGAACAAGGTACCTGATACTAACATCAGACCTCGAGGCTCGCCATCACCATTGTTGATTTCCAACAATGTACTCCCTACTATTAAAACAATACAGGACTCTCAACAGATCTGAAGATAACTAAGTCATTTTTATCTCTAGATACTTTCCTACCAGATGTTTCTTGGAAGCAGCTAAATCTTTCCCCATTTTGCTCTTTCGGGCAGTGCATTGTTGATTGCCAACAATGTACTGTTGGTAGTGGCCGTTTAGAGAGTTTCTGTAGCTCTGCATGGGTGCTTAGGCTGTAGCCTCTAATCATATAGTGTGTGTAGTTTGTGGTATCGGGGTGTAATTAATGTTTTGAGTGATATGGCAAGCAAAACGTCCTCCACATCTGTTGGCTCCTTCAATTTCTATTGCCTTTCCTGCCACATCACTCAAACCATTAAAGCTTCTGTTCACTATTGATCTATACTCTTTTGTTTGGGAAATCAAGTATTGTGTCTCATTTTGGGATTTTTTGTTTTGCTTTTGAGGTGGTGGACAAGAATTGATTTTGTGTACAAGTAAATTTTACGTTGTCTCAATATTTTCAGTAGATGAGTAGCTAGTATTATAGTGATTTATTCATCAGCTAAGTGGGGAAAGAAATTTATTATTTCCACTCTCAATTTAAGTAACAGTTATTCAATTCGTGCGAATATAAAGCTGTTAACTCTAGAGGAGAATACTAAACAGTGAACTATTAATTATGGTTAACTTTAGAGCCCTGCACATGACATTTAAGAAAAAAAAATTGTATATTGAAGTCACGATTTAACCACCAAGACTAACAAACTACCTCTAAGATTAACAAACGTTAACAAACTTAACAATCCAGTGCATTTTACTAATTTGTTCCCTCATTTGACCTAATTGTGGCCTCTCATAATAATTAGTTACTCTGCCGTAGTTATTATGTCAACATGAGGGAACAAAACAGTTGAGTCATACCACAATTACTAAAACAAATAGGGAACAAATAAAAAGCTTGCAAAAGTGAATTTAAATTTGGATTCAAAATTGAACTAAAAAGAAACAAAATATTAAATTGCGTGGCCAAGTTGTAATACATACTGTGATATTATTGTTATAATTAGATCAAAATGAAGGAACAATTCAGTTCAGTGTGACCATAATTAAAAAATAAGGGAACAAATTATTAAGGCATGTAATTTGTAATCTGTAATTTGTAAAAAAAATAAAAATCATCATAGCCACAGTTTACTAATTTGTTCACTGATTTTATTTAAGGAACAAATTCTTAGAAAACTTATTGTAAATTTTTGGGCTATATATATATATATATATATATATATATATATATATATATATATATATATATATATATATATATATATATATATATATATATATATATATATATATATATATATATATATATATATATATATATATATATAAACTGTAATATACACTTAACAGCCACTTTATTAGGTGCAAATTACTAGTACCGAGTTGGACCCACTTTTGCCTTCATAACTGTTTTAATCCTCATGGCATAGATTCAACAAGGTACTGAAAATATTTCTCGGAGATTTTGGTCCATATTGAATGATTGCATCACGCAGTTGCTGCAGATGTTCAGCTGCACATCTATGATGAAGTTTTTTTTTTTTTTTAACTGGATCGAGCTGGTGACTGTGGAGGCCATTTAATTACAGTGAACTCATTGTCATGTTCAAGAAACCAGTCTGAGATGATTCACGCTTTATGACATGGCGCATTATCTTGCTGGAAGTAGCCATCAGAAGATGGGTACAGTGTGGTCATAAAGGGATGGACATGGGCAACAACAACACTCAGGTAGACTGTGGCATTGACATAGTGCTCAATTGGTACTAATGGGCCCGAAGAGTGCCAAGAAAATATTCCCCACACACCATTACACTACCACCAGCAGCCTTAACTGTTGATACAAGGCAGGATGGATCCATGCTTTCATGTTGTTGATGCCAATTTCTGACTCTACCATCAGAATGTTGCAGCAAAAATCGAGACTCATCAGACCAGGCAACGTTTTTCCAATCTTCTATTGTGCAGTTTTGGTGAGCCTTTGCAAATCGTAGCCTCAGTTTGCTGTTGTTAGCTGACAGGAGTGGCACCCGGTGTGGTCTTCTGCTGCTGTAGCCCATCCGCCTCAAGATTTGAAGTGTTGTGCATTCAGAGTTGCTCTTCTGCATACCTTGGTTGTAACAAGTAGTTATTTGAGTTACTGTTGCCTTTCTATTAGCTTGAACCAATCAATCCATTCTCCTCTGACCTCTGGCATCAACAAGGCATTTGCATCCACAGAACTGCCGCTCACTGGATATTTTATCTTTTTCGGACCATTACCCTAAAGATGGTTGTGCGTGAAAAATCACATTAAATCAGCAGTTTCTGAAATACTCAGACCAGCCTGTCTAGCACCAACAACCATGCCATGTTTGAAGTCACTTAAATCACCTTTCTTCCCCATTCTGATGCTCAGTTTGAACTGCAGCAGATTGTCTTGACCATGTCTACATGCCTAAATGCATTGAGTTGCTGCCATGTGATTGGCTGGAAATTTGCCTCAACGAGCAGTTGGGCAAGTGTACCTAATAAAGTGACCGGTGAGTGTATACAGTATGTCTATATGTAATATTTTTTTCATTTGCAGGGTTTTGTAGTTTAACAATCTTCATACCCTATTTGTTTTTCCGAAATTGGAAAAAAAAAGCCACATTCTGATATTAATTGTCTTAAGTAAAATTAACTTTATTTGTCAAATTAGTTGATCTAATCTTTTACTGACTTTTTTTTTTTTTTGCATTATTTTATTATCAAGCACAAGCTGAATGAAAAGATTAATATTATACTTTATTGCCCGGGCAAAGGCATCCAAATGGCACTTGAAGTGTGATAAACTGTCAATATTTGCTTTACACAAACTTACAGTAAGAAATTAAATCCTCCAAATATCTAGAGGAAATCAAGCATTCAAGTGGGAATCCACCATCCTAATATGTAGAAGGGATAATAGCAGTTACTATTTTACCTAATTCATTCACTTCTGTCGCTGTAGGTAAAGAAGATGGGAAATCATGTCAAAAAGTGACAGTGAGGATGACCATTAGAAAGAACGACTGCCGTAGCAACAGACCGGTGAGTTATTCATGTATAAACCTGTCTATCTGATTTCTATTTAGCTGTAAATTGTCTCATGTGTTATGGGTCATATTCACAGGTCAACATAGTGTCATGTGATGGAAAATGTCCATCTGCGAGTATTTACAACTACAACATCAACACATATGCACGATTTTGTAAGTGTTGTCGAGAGATGGGTCTACAGCGCCGTTCAGTCCAGCTCTACTGCAGTGGAAACTCCACATGGGTCAGTTACACCATACAGGAACCTACGGACTGTTCCTGCCAGTGGTCATAAATCCTAAACCAGAATAACAGAAAGTGTTACTTACCATTCAACTTGAACGTTAAGGACAGCAAGATCTGAGGTTTAAATATAGTGTTATAACTTGTCTGCTTCTTTATTTCACAGAGCAGAATATATATTTTGTCCTTTCAAAATTCTCAAATAACGCCGAAAAATGGAAATAAATTGGTCAGCTGCAAGCAACAGTAGTGAAACTAGTTATGTGCTCATGTTCTGTATATATGGAATCTCATCACTGAGCACACGCTGAAATAAATAAAATTACAACTTGTGTTTAGATGCTTTTCTGAAGGTTATGTTGCTTTTAAATAATCTGAATATTACGTGATTTGACATGTTTTATATAGCAATCACATGTTCATTGAGTAATTGACTTGATGCTGTATTTTGAGCACTTTATTTATTTATTACTATATAAGAACAATTGCTTCACTCAAAATACAACATTTTATAAAGATACAGTGAGTTCGAATTATGCGTGGCTTTCATTTATGAAGCACTTTGGCTGATGATACATACATTTTATGGTATAAATTATTGAGGAGTTTTTTCTGAGAACCAGATTTAGATTTTTTTATATGAAATACTTAGTAGGCTACAGACATAAAACTAAATATGTGAAGTTCCTGTTTGTATATCCATGTCCACAGTATTGCAATGTTGCATCTATAGACTGCAAAAGGATGGTCATATTGAATACCTCTGTATAGACTCAAATATTCCATGCAAAGGAGCCCTAGGTTCTCGGTTTAACATTTTAAACTGCTGAAGAACTGCAAAACACATTATACGCTTAGTTTTTAATTGTGTACCATACTACTGTTTATGTATATTTACATTTTCAATAAAAAATCTTTAGAAAAGTCTGTCTGTTATTTTAACAATGTTTTTTGTTTTAATTAGGACATAATATATTTCATTTTCATATTACAATTTTCACAAATTGCAGTGAAAGCATTTTTCAGCCATTGCTGCTTACTTTTGCAACCAACATGCATACAAAAGTAGGCCTACTTTAGTTTTAATCTATGTGTTAAAAGTATGGTCAACTTATTAATGGATATTATTTTTTTTAATAAAATGTTTAATCATGTTACCAAAACTTACAATGATAACTACTAATAATGATAGTCCATGCAGTGGTTCCCAAAGTGGGGGTCAGGACAGGGGGTCGCTTGGTGATTTTTTAAAGGTCAAAAAATTGTATTAAACTATTAGAATATTTTATTCATAACCTACAGAAGATAAAATAGCATAAAAAAAAACTACAACATAAAAAATAAAAAGCCTTTTATTTATTTATTATTATTATTTATTTTTTATCTTTTTTTTTTTTTTTTTTTGCATAGGATAGGTGTTTACGTTAGATTACAACATAGCAATAGCGTCAGCTGCAGCAAATTAATTTAATAGCACAAGGTAAACTTTCTAATACCTTTACGGCTATATATTAAAAATAAATACAGGCCACAACTGAACACTGAGGATGATCTCTTTAAGTCTCCACACTTAAACCAAGAATAGACCTGTGCTGAAAACATTGTGTCCACCCCTCTCTTTAGGTGAGATTTATATTAAAATAAACAATTTAACTGTTGTATGGTTGTTAGACTGTTGCATTTTTTTGTGTTTTAATATGCTTGTGTTTAAATAGGCCTTGTTTTGTGTGCAACATTTGCTAATTTAACCACCTCAGAGGAACATGGGGGTGGCGAGTGCCATTGTTATCTTGGTAAATAAACTAAATGTGTGCTTAAATATGTAAACATGCAATTTAAAAGTACAACAGAAGGCACATATTTCCAGTTATTTGTGCTAACGTTATTTTTAAAAGATTCATCTAGTTTACTCTCTCTCTCTCTCTCTCTCTCTCTCTCTCTCTCTCTCTCTCATTAATTTAAAGTTTGCGCGCCTTAGCTAAACCGAGTGAGTGAGAATAAATGGCACTAACTGACTTTTTATAAAATATAAATTAATTACTTAATCTGGGCTTGAAAATTGATAATTATATTGTATGCAGATCCACTTCTTTATAAAATGATTGATCAATCTAAAAACATGAATTCTTTCTAGATAGAACTCATCTGGTGAAATTGTATTCATTTTCCTACAGTATGTTGGAAAAAAAAATTGCAATGTCTACTGAATAAATCAAAAATAAATAATGCGAATACTTAGTTTTACACTGTGAGCATTATTAATGTATTGGCACTTTGGGTGTAGCACATGTATTTCAGTGCTTTCGTTAATACCTTTCAGTAATTTCTATTCCTTTCTACTCTTCTTGTACTATCAGACAGGCATTTGGTGTGATATGTGGTACATACGCCTTGTAGAGAGAGGGAGGCAAAACTTTGTCCAGGAAATAAAATGTCCTGCTTTAGACATATTCCTTTATAGAGTATTATTTAGTCACATATTTGTACAAATATCATGAAAATTGTAAATTTTGTCTTATTGAATCAAATTTGTTTTGTCTGTAATCTAAACTCATTAATTAAATAACAGTGAGTTAACAACAAAATATGAAAACATGCATGCACTCAGAAAAAATGACTTTTGCTGCTTGTTCAAACTACTTATTTAAAATGAGATAACACAATTCTTAAGGTTTACAACCTTTGGGGACAATCTAATTGTTTTATTGTCAATCCACTTAAAATTGTAAAAATCATTAAGTTAACTTAATCGATTTATGTTGGGACAACATAAAGGAATTGTGTGGAACCCTGCATTTTGTGTTCCCACAGGATGATTGGACTTTGCGTTTGCATAAAAATGCCTTTGTGTTTGGTATAAAAATGGCTTGTCCTATTTCAAATAAGCTTTGACTAATTTTTAAGAGTTCATACTTAGATAATGCTCAACTATAATAGCAGGTTTGGCATGCTGTCCCGGTAGAGAACCCTGAGCTCGGAGATAGATGAGCCCAAGTTTCCCGCCTGGTCAATGGGCATTAGGAAGGATTCGAGATCTGGTATTTCTCGAGTGCCCCTGATTATGCTTTGGCTAATATGGTGGTTCTGATTGATTCAGTATGTATGTGTTAAGTGCTTGTGACTTATTACAATTAGTTTATGTGCATGTTTTTACACTGTGGGAGGAAACCGGAGGACCTGGGGAAAACCCACACGAACACAGGGAGAACATGGAAACTCCACACAGGTAGTGCAGACTGACTCAATTAGAACTTGAACCTTTGGCTCTCCTGTTGTGAGGCAGTAGCGCTAGCCACTGAGCCGCCATGTCACCCAATTATAGAATGAGGAGGGCGAAGAAGGGAAAGATAGAGGACAGAGCGTATTCAAAAACAAAGATGGGAAATAAAGTTTAGGCAGGATATTTTTAGAATGATCTGATAGGCTAGCTAATAATTAGCTATAAGGATTAGCTGCAGTCGATCATATCACATGCTCCTCTCGAAATTAGTTTGTGAAACTTCACATTTCAACCCAAATGTCTCATGAACAAATCTACTTGGTAATAAGTTGAATATTCAGATTGAAAGTTTCAGCGTTTCCCAGTAAAATCAGACAACATGATCAGTTCTGGTTAATCAGTCTTGAAGAATAGGTTTATTGAACTGCCAGATACAACAGATAAAGCTGGCGAGCCAAACATTATTTACAAAAACAGAAGGTGAGAACCTAAAGACAGAGAAAGGGGGGGACTTCCTACTGCAACTACTGCTAAGACCAGACAGTGTTAATGTCACGCAGGTTGTGGTAGACTGCCTTGGACAGCCTCTGGTAAACTGCAAACCGCAGGTGGGATCAGAGCAGCCTGGTGACTGAAGGCCGAGCTCGGGGATGCAGGTAGCAGGCATGTCTTGACCACGAGTGAAGTTTTCTCCATGAACGCTTACTTTCTGCGGCGAGCAGCGGCGCCCTTCTTGGAGCTGAAGTTCAGACAAAAAAAAAAAGCACATTAGCAGTTCTGATCTTTGTTGACCTTCTAGTAGAAGACTGAGAAAAACACCATACAGGACGAGTAACCATATGATCTTTTTCTCATGTTCTACTGTATGAGATGTACAGTAGTTGTGTCAGTCCTGCAGGATGTTTATCTCTGCTTCATGTGTTCACAACAAGTCTGACGTGCACATTAAACTAAAATCACGTTCACTCCATGCAAGACTTACCGCTCTTTCTCTTAGCTCTGTCAGTTTGTTAAACAGGCCTGTCTTAGTCTTAAATGTTTCACCGCAGCAGCTGATACGCATCAAATGTACACCACTCTTTACCTCATGTATACCAAATACATTCATCACAGTTTAGATTTGATGGCACCAATGAAAAATAAGCCAGATCTGAATAAGCAAGTGCTTCGGTGTGCCACTCGGGCTGCGCTAAAGGGTCAGCATTATTTTTCATTGTCTGTAAATCAATTCAGAAATCAAGTACGTTTACATGCTTTGACTTTCCAAGTATTAACTTATCTTTGAATATTTCTATCATGTATGTGCCCTTCGAGTGGAGACAAATATGTTAAAATTACAAGTTCAAGTGCATAAATGCTATTCAACTTGTAAATGCTATTCTACTTGACACATGTTGCCAATTTATGATATTGGATCTTGAGCAAAGCAAGGTTATGTTCAATACTCTAAAGTTATCAAAATTAATAGTTTGCAAAATAGAACAAATATTTAGGTTTAAGGATAATTCAATGCTGGAAATGACTACCATTACAAGGGTCAGTTTTTTATATGATATTGGGATTTATACATCATATTAAAGCTCAATAGACAAGGTTGCATTAGTGTATGATTTGTTAGACAAGTACAATGTTTGGCTGAGAAAATATAACAATTATAAAATATAAATATGTAAATAAATCAGTTATTAGAAATGAGTTATTAATACTATTATGTTTAGAAATGTGTTGAAATAAATCTCTCTGTTAAACAAAAATTGGGGGGGAAATAAACAGGGGGGCTAATAATTCTGACATCAACTGTATACTACTTTATTAGGATTCTGAAATGTCATAATAAGGAATATTTTTAAAACATCTGAGTTTCCCAACAGGATCTTGAAGGTAGCATAAATGCATGACTTATGTCAACTTTATCTTTTAAATAATGTTAACAACATCAGGGCTGGCTGTATTTCGTGTGTCTTGTATTTGTGTATCCATCAAAGCATTTTTAAAAATTTGTGAGACGTTTGATTCATTAACAATTATAGGTGAATGAATAAAGAATTTCAAAGATCTTCAAAGTTCTGTTAAGGGGAAAACTTGCGCTACCACAAAACCAATACCAATGTATTTGATACAAATTGTGGTGCCCCTTTTTATATTAGAAATTAAAGTTTTGGTGGAGGACGCCCACCATTTTTTTTACTGGTTACACCTTTGATCAATCAGCAAAAAGGTAGGAAGATTTAAAATATTATAGACTAGGGAGAATTAACGGAACTCTTTTGTGGTTCTAATCCAGCCGTGGATAAAAGACACCCGTGGATTCACAAAATTTGTGGTGGATTTGTGTGGAATCCTGTAAAGAAACTGTAATTGAAGGGTGTACCTACTCCACCCAGAGTTAAGTTACTCTTGGATTTAAATATTTTTAATAATAAATAAGTAACATAAATCGGGGTTTTAAATATTATATTGATGGATGCAATTAGGCCCTGAAAAATCTAGAAACAATTGTTGACGTTAAAGCAACTTTGAAGATGGATGTCAACTCTGTTTTAGGATGGGCTTGAGTATAAAGATATTCTACCATTTTCTTTTCGACTTAGGCCCTTTATTAATCTGGGGTCGCCACAGTGAAATGAACCACCAGCTTATCCAGCATATGTTTTACGCAGCGGATGCCCTTCCAGCTGCAACCCATTACTGGGAAACATCCATA